GGGGGGGGAGAAAGGGGAGACAGAGACAGAGACAGAGAGACAGAGAGAGCAAGATTTTTTGCTATTCTGACTACAGAAAACAGGATCATTAATTTATGAATTCACACATGGATTTAGGGAACCCTTAGCATCACTCTGCCTCCTCCTCTCTGCTCCCTCAGAGGACCATAGCCCACAGGATGGGCACTGCCAGTGTCAGAGATAATGCTTGCCAGCAGCTAGCCTGATCAGTTGCTGGCAAAATGGAACAATCTGTCAGTCTGCTAGCATTTAATAAGTTCCTACTGTGTGTTAAGCACTGGGGATACAAACAAAGCAAGCACACCCCTGTTCTCAAGGAGTTCATAGAAGAGAGCCTATACCAGCACCATGTGCAGTCCCAGAGACACTGGCTCATCCGAGTGGCAGCAGCGTACCACAATGGCTGGGGAAGCAAGGCAGGGATGCTACAACTAGAGGGGCACCTGGGAAGCCACAGTCTAGCTTTTTGAGAATGGGACCCTTCGGGAATTTTAAACTGTGCTATTAAGGACATACCTATTGAAAATCTAGGGGAAAAAAGCAGAGGCGACAAAGTCAATGTGACTTCATCAAGAACAGGATTAAATGAAATGATATTTGTGAAGCACTTTGCACAGTACTGGGCACACAGTAGGTGCTATATAAATGCCAGTGATGATGATGATGATGCCCAGCTCACTTTTTCTTTTACAGGGTTATTATCATGGTAGAATGCTCTAGGTTTCATTTACTTGGATTTTTAGCAAAGCATCTGACAAAATTTTTCATGATATTCTTATGATCAAGATCAAGAGATAAGAGCTAGCTGATAATAGCATTTGGAACAAGTTAAACATCCAGATTCCTAAAGTAATCAATCACGAATGGTATCCACTTGGAAAGTCTCCAGTGCAGTGCCTCAGGGATCTGCCTTGGTCATATGCTATTTAACATTTTTATCAATGACTTAGAGGCACAAATGGCCCAGAGCTTTCAAATCTGGAGTTGACACAAAGCTGGCTTAGCGTACTGCATGAAAGATCTCAAACAGGCTAGAGTCCGGGGCTGAATCTCATAATATTAAATGTCAGATTTCACAGTTGAGTTTAAAAAATCAACTTCCCAAGTCAAGGCCAGAGAAGATGTGGCCAAGCAGTAGTTAGTGTGGAAAAGATCTGGGGTTTGGTAGATCTCAAGTTCTACGTGAGTCAAGAGTGGGACGTGGCAGTCAAAAAGGCCAATGCAATCTTCGACGGGATTAAGAGAGAGCAAGACTTAGTGTCCAGGAGTGATGAAGGATGAAGGATGCTAGTCCCATTGGCCCCTGCCCTGCTCCCACATGCCATGCCTGGGAGATCATTCTTGGTGCTGAGCCACATTTTAGGAAGGTCATTAATCAGCTGGATTATATGCAGATAAGGGCAGCCAGGATGGTCGTAGGCACAGAGCATCAGAGATTCACAGCCAGAAGAGATCTAAGAGTTCATTGGGTCCAATCCCCTACTTGTATGAAAGGAAACTGAGGCTCCAAGAGGGGAAACAACCTTTCCAAGGTCCCCAGGTAGTAAATGTCATCACTGTCCTGAATCCACAGTCAGAATATTGTTATTTCAGAGCTCTTTCGACTTCACAACATTCAAGGATCAAGTGATGGAACTTTGGACATTTAATCTGGAAAAGAAAAGCCCAGAGCAGGAGGAGGAGGGAGATACTTGAACTGTCTCTAGAGAGTCACGCTAAAGGCTGCCTCTTACTCAATCAGCTTGGCCTCAGAGAGCAGTGCTACCCACAGGAAAGCAAACATTCAGAAACTTGCAGCCTGAGGGTCAAAATTTATGGAAGTTAGAAAGATGCAGATTGAGGTATGATATCAGTGGTTGGTGGGGGCAGGAGGGTGGCAGGTGGGGAGAAGCATCATAACAATGAAAACCAGCCAGTGGTGGAATGGGCTGCCAGGGAAGGTAGTGGACCCCCCATCCCTGAAGGTCTCCAAACAAAGGCTTGATTGAATGATAAAAAGATAGGTTGGCCTAGATGATCTCCGAGGTCTACTCCAGCTTCAATTCAGTTCAACACACCTATCTATAAAGTACCTACTATGTGCCAGCCATTATTCTAGGTCCTGGGGATCTAAATGGAATCATTCCAGGCGTCAAGGAGCTTCCATTCTACTAGAAAGAGAAGTAAATACAAAGTATAGACAGAAAGCAATTTCAAAAGACAATGAGTATGAATAAAGAAAGCAGGAGGAGGGAGGGAATCCAGAAAGTCCTACTGTAGGAAGCTGGGCATTCGGTTAGTGGGAGGCAAGGCTATGATCCATAATGAAATTCACAAATGAATGAATCTCTCTGATACACTCAAAGCTGTTAATTGGAGAAGGACCATACAAATTAGAAACCATCAGGTGCTGGGGGCTTAATTACCTCTTTTGAAGAGGCAGATTGCTCCCAAACTGCTGAGCTAAACTGCCTATCAAGCTGCTGGTCTGTGTGTGAGTAAACATTCTCAGTCCTTCCCCATCTCTTGTCAATTCAGAGTTTTTGAAACGAGAAGATTAAAACTATAAATAGTAGAGAGAGGATGCAGAAAACTGAAAAAATCTGTGTAATTAAAATGAACACACCTGCAGTGTTACAGAAATAGATTCCCAGCTTAGTGCACTCCTGACTCTCTCGCTCTTTCTGTCTCTCTCTCTTTCTTTCTGTCTCTCTCTGTCTCTGTGTGTGTGTGTGTGTGTGTGTGTGTCTTTCTCTCTGTCTCTCTCTGTCTCTCTCTCTCTCTCTCTCCCCCAAATCTAAACATCCATCATCCATTCACACTGGATGGGGTGGAGGAAGAGGGAATACAGCCAGATTGTGATCAACTTAAAAATAGCTATGAGCTGGCCCCAGAGAAGAGACAGAAAAAGCCATCTACCCCTAACCACCCCACTCCCATTCTTTCTCTTTCTTGAGATTGAGGTCCTTGGGTCTTGATCACTTCATACAATGTTGGATTTTTTTCCTATAGGTTGATTGGTTTTGCTGATTTTTTTTCCTCTCCTTCCTCTTTTTCTTTTTGGAAAAAAAAATCTTGACTTTAAGGAATGGCTCTTTTGGAGGAAGGACCTAGGGGGAAATCTAGGTGATATAAAAAGAAAAGGCATTGGAAAAAAATCCATTTTTTAAAAGTTTAAATGGCTCCATGGGGGAGGGGCTGTAGGCGATACAAAACTGGCTTGTTTAATAACAGGGCTGCCTGCTAGTGTTGGAGGAAATGAGACGGTAAAACTGAGAAGAAGCTCAAATGATGAAATAAGAATGTGGGCAGGTGCTGCCATGGTAACCAGGCTCGGCTCATCCATCTGGGCTCCAGACTCCAGTTTTCATTTAGGGTACCCAGGCTCCGACTGAGAAAAGGAAAGGGTCACTGAGAGATGAGGAGTGATTAAAAAAAAAAAGGAGACAGAGGGAAAGGACTGGGGGAGAAGAGGTGAGGTTTGGTCACCTTCCGAAAATTCAGCAGAAGCATGAGATGATAGAGAGAATGCTTGATTTGGGGTCAGGAAAACCTATGTTCAGATCTTGCCTCTTGACTTGTC